AGTTTTTCTTATTAAGGTTGATATAGTTAAGCTACCATTTTCCTGCTCGAACCCACAAGAGTTAGATATCTCACTACTTGTTTCCAAACACAGGCACCAACAAATGATTACCCCTTAGTAATTCACTCTAAGCAAGAGACATTTTTCGAGTCCTGGTGGATTAGCTGTGTCAGAATGTCGTCGGGGGGCGGGGCACAAAGGAAGGAAAAAAGAATGGAGAAAAGGAGGAAGGGGGCGGCGCAAGAAGGGAGGAAGAAATGTAGGGAAAAGGGAGCAAGGAAATTTTGACGCTAGTGTGTTTTTACCTCAGAAGGTAGATATAGGTCTAGTGTTATCGAGGAGCTTTTGTTAACTGGAAAGCACGTCTCACTAGATGTCAGTGATTTAGAGATACAGGCCATCAGATAAAAAGCAAGCTAAGAAGTGGGAAATTGTCAGAAACTAAAAGTTAACTTAACTGACTTTTCAGTTTTGCCTAGATCATACCACATTAGGTGGTAATACTATAAAAGTGCCTGTCATCATCAGCACCATTAATTAAGTGCACAGGAATTTGCTAAAAAGGAAGATATATAGCAATGCGCTAGGTCAGTGGTGGTGAACCTTTGGCATGCACAGCCTTCTTTCAGCATGTGAGCCAAGTCTTCCAAGGTGCCCCAGCATCTCCCCAGCAACTGCAGTGTTGGCACTTTGTGATAAATAAGCGGGTTTTGGATTGTAGTTTGGGCACTTGGTCTCTAAAAGTTTCAACATCTGCTCCTCTAGTTGATACATTACTTCACTTAATCCTCTTAGTCACCACTGCATTGATGTCTCTTTTTGACAGATAGGTAAATTGAGGCTTAGACGTAAGTAAAAGAATTTATCCAAGATGATACAGTTAGTATGGGAATTTGAGACTTGAATTTGTGATCCTGAAGTCCATGCAAGTAATCAACTGCGGATAACAGGAGTTTGTACATTAGCTTTTACAGTCAAATTTATAGGAGTCATGTCATGGCTTTTTTTTTTTTTTTTTTTTTTGCTTCTGTCCATATGGAGTGAGATTGGGGTCAAATCACTAAAACCTACTAATGGATGAAATGCGCATAGTGTAGTCACTCTAGTCGTTTTAGCAATTTAAAAGAGCAGTGATGATTGGTGTCATAAAAGCCATAACACACGTTCCTGCAAAATAAAAGGCAACTAAACTGCTTTTTCAATCATTTCATTGCATGCGCATTTGGCAAACTGTCACCGCCTCTGGCAGTCGTCTTTTTTAATGCAAGTGTTTCTTTGGATGTATCTCCTTCCTTCATGATCTTCTTCTGTCTGTGGTGTTTTCTTTTTGAAATCAGCACAGGAGTTGTTTAATCTTCACAGATTTTGAAACAAGGTCACATTTTCATGTGAGTGCATTTAAATGGACCCCACTTGCTTAAATGATGTGAAGTAGCTCTCAGCGACATTCCCATGGCCTGTTTTTGTACCTTTTGATACTTTATATGCTCTCCAATCAGTTGGACAGATAATAAATGAAACCTTGGCACCTGGCTGCCACCGCCACTGTGATGCTGAGTCTGGCATTAGCCCAGCTGACAGGGAGGCATGCCCATGAGGAAGCCAGAGAGCAACGCAAGTGGAGGTTAGGGCACGTTACTATCTTCAGAAATTCTCTGCAAAAGACAGCCCATTTCCATCTTTCATCTCTCTGTCTGTCCTCATGTCTTCTTCCTGCCACATTTTTTTTTTTATTTTTGCTTTTCATCTGATGAACACGATGGCAGGAGGTAGCTGAGAGGCCTAAGGGGAGCTTGGAAACTGACATCAGCTATGAATTTTATTATTTTTTAAATACCTTCGTGCCTACGATGATAAAAAGGTCTTTGGATTCTCAGTCTCTGGTGGGGATTTTCAGATCTGCCTCAGTTCATAGCTTGCCTCCCCGTTTGTGGGAGAGCGAGGTGGATTTGTCATCTCTGACCCAGTTGGAGACACGAAGAGCCAAGAAACACCATATTTCACAATGATTCATTGAAAACTCTCATTCTTTTAATTGGGAAAGAATTCATTGCCATCAATGACTTGGCTTTTGATGACAAGCATTCCATCTGGAAGACTGCCAATTAGGGGTTGGTTCCATGGACCATGACTCATGTGTATCTGGGCAAACTTCTTGAAATCAGAAGAAGTTTGCTTTCTCACATGCAGTGGATGACTTCTTACAAGTGTGCTGATGTGAATATATGTATGTGTATGTCTGTGGTCATCTTTTCATTGCATGATATGTTAATGAATAAACATGTGCATTATATGACTGCATTACCATCACTTCTGATGTTTAATGAGAGTTATCAGGAACTGCAAGACATCTGAGATTTTATCCTACTTTTAAGTGAATGACTTGGCCAGACAAGGCTTTGCAGACAATAGCAGAAAACATGAGACCAACTCCACTTCTCACTAGGCACCATGAGGGCCAGGTGACACTGAAGGAGGCAGTCCCTGAGTCACAGCACAAGGACCCTGGTGAATCTAGTGTAGCTCACCACACATTTATTTTGCAGAACACCTGGAGTAGTTATCATTGATCAAATCTAATTCAAACAAGAAAGTCTAGATGACAGCAAACTGCAGGGCGAGAGTATGGAAACTTTGCTAGTTTTCTGCATGCCAGGCAATGTGCCAAGCATTTTACATGTACGTCTCATTTACCATCACAAGACTTGTGTGAGTCAAGAATGGCTATTCCCATTATATGGACAAGGAAATGAACGATTGGACAGGTGTGGTTTTCCAAGGGCATCCAGTGAGTAAGTGGTAGAGCTGGAATTGTCTAGAGGGCCGACTTCCAAGTACACACTTTTCCCACTAAGTCAGATTGCTTATTTGTGAATACTGCTTGCTCTCAAATATCTTTTTCAAGTAAGGTTTGAATAAAAAACCTTATGAGGTTATTATCAAAAATTATATGTCATGTTTTTGTACTCTTTCTAAGGAAGCTTCAATTACTTTTATTCCCTTGTTTCAGGAATCTCCTTTCCGATTTCCCTACAGTGTGTGTGTGTGTGTGTGTGTGTGTGTGTGTGTGTGTGTTAATGTGTGTGTTCATATAATAGCTCAGCTTGTTGCCATTAGTACTCTCTTTCCTAGAATTTAGACAGTGTATTATTACATGGTGACCAAGCCATTTTATACCCTGGCAATTCTGAATATTCTTTAATTAATCCATAAATCTGGAGGACATCTTAGAAAAGCAGAGGACTTTATTTAAATAATTTTCATAAGTGACTTTTTAGTAATACTTTCATGCAAGAATTTGGAGAGCAACAGATATACTAGTAGAATGGGCACGTTTGTTTCTGGTTTCAATATAATTTGTTCTAAATTCAGCATTAATCTGTAGTGAAATAAAATCGACCATATGAATTTGCCTCGTGCACTCTGAACAGTCTGGTCCTACACTTCCTTTTGGGAGGTTTTTAGATACAATTTAGAAATAATCTGTTATATACACAGAGGACCGCCTAAAAAAGTCAACCTCAGTCCCAGTAATAGATCTGAAATTTCTATTTTGCTTTGAAAAAAGAAAATAAAAGTCATCTTCCAAATATATTTTCAAAGCAAAATGTCATATCAGCCATTATTGCCTTACCTTAAAATGGTCTATCATACTGATTGTCACGAGACTCAGGGAACCCAGCTAAGGATAGCCTTATTTAGTCTTAGGAGGAGCAATGGAGTGGTAACAGTCCTGGACAAGGTGCTAAAACTAGGCAAGATCAGGATAAGATGTGCCTGAGACTGTCAGTGACTTGTTGCAGATAAGATAACTAACCAACAAAGCAAACAAGTAAGAAAATATGAGGAAGACACATTTGCTTACTTCACAAGTTTACATAATTTAAAGGTGGACAACCTGGTATGATAATTTGTTTTATAATATATAGCCCACTGTCTTTTATAAAGGATAAAGGTTACAGTAATAGAATTATTAGGATGAACATTTTCAAAGCCTTTATCTCCCTATCATTCTTTGGTTGGAAAACTGAGTAATAAGCATAATATACATTTCCTTAGATTGCATGGATCATTTAAAAATATATGTCTTTGTTAAGTAATAAAAAATTCACCTCAATCCTTTTAAAAATATAATAAACCTATATTGGTAATGGGTGGTATCTCCAGATTTTCCAGAGAGTCACTGTTGAGAATTATTAAATACTTCAAGAAGGTCATTCATGTTGAAAATTATCCAAGACTACAAAGTCTGTCTTACTCTGTGATCCTATTTTGCCACAGGCAAATCCGTTTCTGAATGTTGATGGTAGGTATCCCGACCTATCTTACAAATTGGTGTCTTTAGTAAAGAGTCGTACTTGGAGCTGCAAAGTTTTTTGATGACTAGATCTAGATACAGTAGCTTGAAAATGTGGGTGTGATATATGACTCAATTACCGTCTGTGTGGTATGATTGTGTTGCTGTATGCCCACATGAGCAGCAGCAGAAGCATAGTTAGAAAACAGTCAAATTATGGTGCTATAGGAAATGATGGCTTTAAGCAAAATTGAATATTATTTTTATTGCATTTTTCTGCAAGTACTATATTTCAAGTGAAAGCAGGATGTTAGGATGTATGCATGTGTAGGTATATAGGGAGAAAGACAGAAGGAGGGGGAGAGAGAGTATTGATTTTGAAGCATTAGGAATTGAATTCTTGTTTGCTTATTTCCATTCTTTCTGATGCCCACCTTAATATCAATGTTTAAGAACAATGTATTCATTAAATTTGAAAGCATTTCTTTTCATAATGAAAGGTCTTCATTAAACCATGGTGGATATTATAGTCAGTGGCACCATAGAACCAACTTAGCTATGCATCATACATGATATACATGGCTCCTTGGGAACACGTAAATCTCTTATGATATAAATAAATATCACACAAAATTGTATGCAATATCTTCTTCTCTGTCTGTCTGGATTGAAGTGACCTTGTCTTTTCATCTTATTTGTGTAGCACCAAATAGGAACTTAGTGGTGGAAGAAAGAGCAGAGTTCAACTCAAACAAGGAATCCAAGCAGATTACACAAGAAACACGCACTCTGGAGAAAGAAGCTGCAGAAGCTGGCGAAGGTCCCCAACACCAGGACACTGACCTAATGGAAGACAAAGGAGGGGCAGCCCAGGAGGAGGAAGCAGGGGCTAATGAGTTTCCCTCAGGGGAGTGGGAGCCAACAGCAGAGCAGCCAGCATTAGCTCAACAGTTTCCAGAGGCAAGAGAGATCCCTGTAGACCTAGCAAGTGGGGTAGAGGCAGATGAGGAAGAGGATGGAAGGCTGGGAAGAGAGGAGTTAGACCTCACAGTGAGCCTGTGTGGAGGGGAGGCTCCTGAAGAGCAGGCGCTGAGGCAGACAGGAAAGGCAGCTTCTTCCGCAGAGGAGCAGAACTCAGCGAAGACAGTGTTTCCAGCCGGCACAGCACAAAGCTCCCAGCACCCTCAGGAGGAGGTCACGTTGAGAGATGCCACTACTTCAGAGATGGGAGAGGCTGAGAAAGAGAAGGCTGTGAGCCAGACTGGGTTTGAAAGGCCAGCTGTGGATGGAAGTGAGGAGGAAGCGCCCACAGACCTAGAGGACTCGAGGCCTGGGGAAGACGCAGAATCCTTGAAAGAGGATAGGGTAGAAGAGGCAACACTTGGGGGAGAGGAGCCAGACAAAGAGGGAACGGAAGTTCTGCAAGCAGAAACACCCTTGAGTTCCTCAACAGCCGAGGCCAAGGCTGAGAGAAGTGGCATGGGTGCTTCTGGTGGCAGCCCCGAGAAGCTACCTGAGGAAACCACCCTGGGGAAGGAGATGGTGACTGAGCTAGCACCTAACAGGAAAGATGACAGGGAAGAAATGTCACGTGAGCAATTAGATGTACCAAGAGAGAGGAGGAAAGCTGAGAGGCTGGTAACATCTCTGAGGGAACCCGGGTCTGAGAGAAAAGTGGTGACTTGGGCAGATGAGCTGAAGGATGAAGACACATTAGAAGAAGAACAAAAACTTAAAGAGGAAGAGAAGAAAACAACAAAGGAAATAAGATCTGAGGAGCAGGCAAAAGCACCCAGAAATGGAAAGGAATCTGGTGCTGAGGATGAAGAATCCACAGAGGCAACTGACTTAACTGAAGGCACAGAGCTTCTAGAAGATTCCCCTGGAGAAAGAGTGGTTAATCTGTTGGAAGTAACATCTGAATTTGAAAAGTCACCTGAAAAAGTAACAGCAGTGAGGAAAGAAGGAGAAGGACTGAGGGAAGGTAGAGACACAGAGCACGAAGACTGGGCAGAGGGGCAAGGCCAGGACACCACGGCCCCTTCAAAGCAGGGGGAAGGGCCTGGGCGTGGAGGAGAAGGAACATCAGAGGGCCCTGGCAGTGAGCCACTGGGAGAGGAAAAGGTCCCTGACCTGGCCTTCCCAGACGCAGGACAGGCTGAGGAGTGTGCAGTCCTGGATCATGGAGGCCCTACTGGCCTGGCTGGGAGGGATGGGGAAAAACCTCAGCAGGGGCCAGGAGGAACACAGGCCATGAGAGTGACCCAGGAGCCTCTGCCTGAGAGAGATCCCAGGATGGCGAAAAAGTTCAGTGAAGAAGCAGAGGGTGAGGAACCCGAGGAGGAGAGGGATCAGGAGACAGGAGTGATGGAGGACAGCAACACAGAGAGGGACGGAGTCACAGGAGGAGCATCAGTTATGGCTGAGGAAGAAAGAGTGGCAGGGACAGCTGCAGAGAGGAAGGAGGTGTTGGCAGATTTGAAGACATTTGAGGGGAAAACAGTAGCAAATACAGCCGCCTCCTCTTCAGATGTTGCTGTGGAGGAAACCAGGCTCAAGGGGGACGAGGCACCAGGGAAAACAGCAGCTGAGGAGAGGGTGGTGGCAGAGGAGATGGCGTTGAGCAGGGGGGTAGTGACAGCAGCTTGCACAACAGAGGCTGGGGGAGAAGTGCTTCCAGAACCTTCCAAGGGGGCAGGGGAGCCCCAGAGGCTAGGACAAGATGGAGAGGAAGGAGAAGCAGAGGCTGCTCAGCCTACAGGCTCAGCACAAGCCAAGGCAGGGCCAGGGGTTGGTGACCCTGGGCAGGTGACAGGGGCAGCAGAAGAGTCACCCCAAGAGAGAGAGTCAGAGCCCAGTAGAGGGAGTCTAGAGGTGGTGGCTGAGCTTCCCGTGAAGCCTGACTTCTCTGGAACCCAAGAGGAGCAAGAGCATACGGTGCAAAGACAAAGCGAGAGTGTGGATGTTCCCTGAACAGCAGGAAGGATGAGATTTCGTAGCAGATGGTGAGTCTGAGGCTGATCTGTTTGCAGGAGTGAGTAAAAGCCCCGGCGTGGGTCTCCTCTGCTTGGGGATGGCATGTCCCTTTGTCGGTGTCTGCTGCCTGATGTTCACGCATGCACACATGGGCTTCAGTTCTGGGGCACTTGGTCCCAGCCTGTGAAGAGAAGGGCTGGGGAGGTAGAGGAGAGACCAAAGCACACATAGGAACCCAAGTAGATTCCTTTGTGACTCTAAAATCATACATGTCTTTGCAAGTATAGCTCCCTGAAGTAGTGAGACCTGTGTGTCCCTGACAAGGTCTCAAAGATGAAATACAGAGAATGTACCAAAAGGCATAGCCCCAGAAGTAAAGGATCAAGCTCTTTTCTAGAACACCAGCATTCTTTAGCATTAGGAGCAATGGTTGTTAGTGATCACTGGCCTTTACATGAGTTCTTTGCCTTTGTTTCTATAGTAGTATAAAGTTCAATGTTTGTATAAGTTTTACATATAAGGCATAAATACATATTTGTCTAATATGTACTGCTTAGATACATAAATACTGAAAGTAGAACTGAAGACCACGACTTATTTTTGCATACCTAGCATTTCACTGATGCCCTTACATCCTTACATCCTTGACACCATTGCAATCTACTTTCTAGAAGGTGTGCAGCAGTCTGCTACTTTGAATGCTTATATCCATAGTACTATTATTCTTTTTATTTTTTTTTCAGGATATTTTAAAAGTGTCTCTGGAAGACATAAAGCCTGGAGAAATTTCCACAGCAGCATCTCAATAGGATGGTAGAATTTATCTTTTTCTTCTTCTTTTTTAATGTCACTGTGCTTGTCTGAGATGATTCCACTTGATGAATGGATTTACTATGTATCACAAAATGTACAGTCATAAAAAAATGAGAAAAAATAAATTTAAAATGAAAAGAATCAAGATAGGACATGTATATGTTCCAGATCCCTAAGATGAATGTAATTACTGTACATCTTAGTTTTACTAATAAAAATTTAAGAATTAAAAAAATAAAGATTGCTCAAACCTCTAGGTCTTCTCAGAAAAGAATTGCATTGCATGTATATTTATTTAAATATGGAAATATTCATTTTATGTATGCCAGAGCAGTAATTTAAAGTGGAAACCTTATTTCAAAATGCCCTTTGTTTTGTATGTATTTCTTTCTCAGGTAGACTTGTGAAAAACCAACTCATAGCACTTTGTCCCTGAGAGCCTCATTTATGTGACCACTCATATCTAAATCAAAGTAGTAAATAATGTAGATAAGTGGAATGAATATAATAATTATACCTGGTAGATGTAGCCCCTAGTCACACATGCCAGCATTCCAGAGACTAGTTGATGTCGCTAAATGGAAAAGAAACTTGGTTAAATTAGTATGCAGCTCACCTTCCTAAGTTCAGTTATTTCAAACTTGTGAACTAACCTTGTAGTCCATAATAAATTAATAGTCACAATAGATTTCTAAATTACCCCCTTGGATTATTTTCTAGTTGAGCATCAGCATGGCTCTAGGGTTTTGATTTCCTTGAAGTTCTCTGTGCAACTGTGCCCGAAAGGGCATGCCTTTTCTCCAGAGAGCTGGAGAAAGAAATTGTTCAAAAGTAGCAGTTTTCCGTCAGTCTACATACTAGTCTTTCCCAGGGCACTTTTACAAAGGACTCAACCCTTGACTCCATCCCTGAACTTCAGATTTCATTAGTTTTAAATAGATCATTTGGATGGGTCATTAGTTTTAGATGAATAATATACATATATGCACATGCATATATATCCATATATACCCATAAATATCTCAAAATACATAATAAAGGCCTAAATTTTTAAAAAATTACAGTAAATAACACATTGCCAATTAATTCCCCTCAAAAAAAACCCTCGAACCAAAAAGAAGTGGCCCAACAATCCTAAACCTTTTTTTAAAATTTTTTTCCCAGTACCAGGAATCAAACTCACAACCTCACGCATGCCAGGCAGGCGCTGTGCTGCTGAGCTAAATCCCCAGCCCCTGTCCCATCATTCTTAGTACTTTTGTATCTGTCTCTGCTCTCAAGTCACTACACATGCCTTTCATTATGGTCAGCATGTCTGTAATTATCTGAGTAATTATCTTTCTGATTGGATTTTTCTAGAGCCTCATTCATTTGCTCTGTTGTTACCACTTTAGAGAGACAAGGTGGGTGGCTTTCAGACTGTTCTATCTTACTGCCCTCTGAGTTTGTCTTTGGTGAGCTGGCTGTGTGGGCTTGCATCTTGTTTAAAATATATATATAATATTTTAATTCTTGAGTTGATGATTGTAAATGCCTAAGTGAGTGGCTTTATTGCCAGCATTTAGAAGTGTACATAAATTTCTACTCCTCAGAGCTGTCTTCCAGGTGTAGCTGTCTTTTGGATTTTGAGTCTGCTGCAAGATCTTACCTCTTCAGTTTTGGGGGGATGAGAAATTGCTGCCTACTTGGCCAAGCCCCTAGTTCTTTTGCACTAGCCTATAGCATTTTCTGTCATCAGTAGGCAATCTCAGTCTTGGTATAACAGGAAGAACAACTTGGTAAGAACAATTATGTCACTTTGACTGAAGTGGTGCAATCTACAATAACCATAGCATCAAGCAGAGCCAACAGCCAGTGCAGTCCTCCAGGCCCACTACTCCGTTCCACTGCTGCATCTCTCCTTGGAGGCCTCTGGGGCTGCCAGCAGTCACTGTCTCTCTTGCTACTTTTGGAAGCAGTCCTGGAAGTCCTCTTTTAAGTTTTTATGCGGTATGATAAAAAATATGGTGAATGCCACTGCAAAGTATCATACCACATAAAGGCAGGCTTGTAGAATCATTACAGTCAGTCCTCATCCACCTTATTCATTGGATCTGGTGCCATGCAACTTCCGGTTCTTCTCCAGAGTTAAAATGACCGTGAAAATTACTGTTCTAAATCAGTTCATGGGGCTGGGGATTTAGCTCAGCGGCAAAAGCTCCTGCCTGGCAAGCGCAAGGTCGTGAGTTCGGTTCCCAGTACCAGAGAAAAACCGAAAAAAAAAAAAAAAAAAAAACTAAATCAGTTCAGGACTTCCAGGTGGCCATGACAGCACAGCTAAATACAATCACAAAAGAAGATTCTAGAGCTGCTTCAGAAAGTGCCAAGAATGATGGGATAGGTATATTTGAAGTGATGGGGAGTATTTTGAGGAGTATAAATACCAATGTATCTTCAAATGTAATAATTTTTTAAATGTAAGCTTTAAGTATTTTTTGATTCTCACACACACACACACACACACACACACACACACACTTTACTCCATTCTGCAAAGTAGCCAAAGTTGAGAACCACTTCCAAAATCATCATACAATCCATGTTGGATCTTCTATACTAACTACATTCCTATGTAGGTGAGATCTAGGCATATCATTGTTAGAAGTGTTTTTCTTCTTAATCAGTGATGGAGACATTCAGTATTCAAAAAGGATACAGGACTAGGCATAGACCAGATGATGGATTGGTCATTTAATTATGAATATCAGTATCAACCAGAAACCGTTTCTGGTTTCTTCTCATACCTGTTAAATTAGAAGCAATGGTAGGAACTAACAGCTGGTGATTTCACAAGACCTCAAGGTAATTCTGATGTATACCAAAGTTTGAAAAGTGCTCTCATGGACTGTTGGTGTTACTGAGGATTAGTCTTATTTAAAAAAAAAAACCTAATTGTTGGAGAATCATGAACTTTATTTGCCTCTGTCTGTCTTGTCTCTTTTTCTGTATCTCTGTTTTTCTTTCTCTAGGAAATGGTAATCATTATAAAGTGGTAGATTCAATCATATGCTCTTTTATGTTATGCCTGTATTGAAGTGTACATGAAGGAGTACCTCTGCCCACTTTGTCTTGAAGTACTACTCACTGTACATCATAGATCTCCTTTGTCTCGTTCTATAAGTGGGTTTCATGTACTTCACATGTAATCTCCCTTATTTTGGGGTTGTATTAGTACGGAGCACTATAGTATTTTTTCCCTGGCATCAACGTCAGTGTTATGGAGCACTTTAAATACATAGCACTTTAAGAGAAAGATTGCAAATTTGTTAATCACATTAAAAAATGAGTTTTGTACAATGTGCTAAGTGAAAGTTGCATTGGGTTATTTTTATATTTAACACATTCCATCTAAACATTCTGTAACAGAATTCTGCAGTCTGCATGTACGTTTAACTGTGAAATTCAGTGTTGTGATGTTTTGATTCATTCTCTACTAATACTATGTTTATAAAATTGTTAGTGTGTTCAGCCAAGCTGTTTTTTTCTATTTTCTTCATTATTAAATACATAAATAAATAATATGTTTACAGATATGCCATGAGAATTGATTTTTTTGTAAGAATAAGTTTGTAATATCTTTTGTGTTCTCTTTGTACAGAAGTTACATTATAAAAGCAGAAAAAATGAGAGTTAATATTATTGGGCTTGTATTTTGATTGTGTGTATTTATACTGCCTACATTTATACACATCTTTCACATACACAGGATAGTGTCAGACAGAAAAGTTATTCCCACTATTTTATAGATAATTAAACAAAAGTTCAATATACTTAAATGGACCATGGTTGATCTTAGGTCTTTTGATTCTAAATTTGGACTTTTAAAAAATACTCACATATACTAATTCTAAGAAGAGGCATCTTAGACATTAAGACACTAAATGTGAAAGACTACATGTTTTTTGTTTACTAGTAGAAGGGAAAAGACTTATTAATATTTTGTACTAGTCAGAAGGGAGCAAAGAAACTTTATTTAAACAATTCAAGGGAAAAATACACAACCAAAGGAAATGCAGGAAGAATTAGGATTTCTACTTGAATTTCTTGGTAAAGCCTTTCCATGGCTTTACCAACTCCTGTGTTATAAATTTAAAGTATCATTGAGTTCCTTAACCTTTCTGTGATCAATAATTTTGCCACAATTATTGCTCTTGGAAAATGATTGTTTGGACAGAGAAAAGAAAACCACAAGGAAGATTCATCTAGTGAGTGAAATATTCCACCAGGCTCAAGGACAGCCCAGAGAAGGCCACTCTTGACCTTGGGTCATATTTCTTCCTGGGCTTCTGCACCACTCAACTGTGTCATTTGAAAAAAAGAAATTACTGTTCCCTTGGCTAGCAGAAGAGGCACAAGAGAACAGGGAATAAATACAGCTGAAAAGCCACTCTCAAACTCATTCTTCTTTTGTTATTTTTTCCTTTGTTCATTATTCTTTTCATTCTTCCTTTTATATGTTGCCCAGTGACAGAAAAACTGTGTGCTTTGAAATAGTGGAACACTCTGTCTGAGATACAAGTCTGGGTATTTGAGAATATACGAGCCTTTTGAAATTCCTTCCAGAAGATCTGGACTGTTTAGGAATATTGCAGTGCCCCTACTTTTTATTAGGGAAAATGAAATAGAAAGAGGTTTCCCAGGACAGATAAATTGGTGCCAAAGTCTGCCTCCTTTGCAAGTGGTTCCTGGTCTTTACTAAATACCTACTTATAATTAGAGTCTGTGCCAGGGACTTCAACATTATGGGAGAAATCTCTCAGTTGTTCAAATCTCAGTACGAATGCGACATAAAGAGCTTCCAACTGGTGTGAGTGTGCTCATGAGGGAAAATTCAGCTTTTTGTGGGATTCTCTGTCAAGGCGAGTTTGGAGGTACCCACCTCTAAATTACTTTGCTTGGAAGTGGGCTTCAGAACTATCTGATAGTCAAGGCCCTTCCTGTTGCCAATAATACCCCATCCTGTGTTCAGGACAGAGCCCTCGTCCTCACTCGCCAACTTCACTATGTACCCGAGGGCCCTTGGGTGGCATAAATGAGAGAAGAAAAGAACAGTTTGAACTAGGTTATAGGGGCTGAGAATGGGAAAGACTTTAATTACTGGTTAACAAATCCGTCTGGAAGTCGAGGTGTCTCCAGTGCTTTGTGTTCAACAAAATTAAATGAGGATCTGATTGCATTGTCAGCTCGTAAGCCATTAAAATATTTTCTGCATTTTTATCAGCCTATGATTTTTAGGAAACTATTTAGAAGTTCAAGGAAGAGCACTGCTATACTAGAGAACAAAGTACTTTCATCCCCATCTACTTTTTTACATGACTTCCACAAGCACTGTATTTTTACATCTATGAAAATAAAGCTCAAAATGGAATAGAAGTTTCACTCTAGCAGTAAATATTTGCTTGCACATATACACACTAATTAAAACTAGAAATCACTATCTTCAGAATGCATTTCTACTTTTATTTTTTATGTACAATGTTTATCAAAATTTATAGTGTATTTAGGTTGTCAAGATCAAATGTGTATTGCTAATAAATGCAAAGATAACTCAGTCCAGAGGACATTTTAACCCATAAAGGCCTACAGTCATAGGAATTTTTTAAAATTAAATTTTAATGTAGATAGTAACTTAGTGGAGAGGAAGTATGACAACATGATCAATAAAAGGCTTTGAGCTATTGAAAAGTATGGCAGTAGCAAAAAATTGGGTGGCTAAAGTGGAAATGGAAATGTAAGTTTAAGGAAAAAGTAACGTGAGATTTTCTAATGCTGAAGAAGAGCTTAGTCACACATTTCTAAGATGGCGGGCTGAGGCCAGGCTCCAGGCTCCAGAGGAAATGCTCTGGAACAGAAGTACATATGCAGGGAGTTTCCTGGGGCTTGATCTGGGGATGACACTGTGGGATGTGAAGAGGCAGACGTGGCCTGTGAGAAAAGATGGCTGCAGCGTAGTTGCTAGAGAGGCCGCAGCCTAACTTTGAGGAGCCCAGGGCTGAGACGGCCA